TTGCTTCAACTGTCTCCACACTCCCAGTCTTAAATTAATTCAGCCTCTTTACCCTGTTGTTGGTCATGGACTTTCCTTTCATCTCTCCTCCCCTTTCTTTCTAGCCTCCATATTACTCTTCACTCTCCTTAAGGTTAGAGACTCCTGAAATCTCTTTACTTGTACAGTAAAACCTTTGTTAACTAGCACTCAGGTAACTGAACAGTTACATTAAACAGCATGGTGTGAGAGTGACTTTAGAGCAAACTGGGCCAAAAGCTTCATTAGCTGGCATATTTGCTTAACGGACAAACCCAATCCCCCATAGTTGCTAGTTAACAAAACATTTCCTGTAATTACATTTGTTTTTAATTTTGTCAGTTTAGTTCATTTATTGTTGTTGAGACGCACAGTCGAGTCCGACTCTTTGTGACCCCGTGGGCCAGATCACGCCAGGCCCTCCTGTCTTCCTCCGAGGTTTGCTCAAGTTCACGTTCGTTGCCTCGATAACACTGTCTGACCATCTCATCCTTTGCAGTCCCCTTCTTCTTTTGCCTTCAGTCTTTCCCAGCATCAGGGTCTTCTCCAGTGAGTGATCCCTTCTCATTCGGTGGCCAAAGCCCACCATTTATACCCCACCTTTATTCCCAATGGGGACCCAAAGTGGCTCGCATCATTCTCCTTTTAACCCTCCAACAACCCTGTGAGGTAGGACAGGCTGACAGAGTTTGATTGGCCCAGTGAGCTTCCATGGCACAAAGTAGGGATTCACACTCAGGTCTTCTAAATACTAGTTTGACATTCTTAACCACTGCACCTCACTGTTTTTCCCTTTATGAAAATTTTTTTAAAAGGGACAATCCTGCTAGATTGTGCCCTTAACGATCCAGGCCGCGGAAGAACAGAGAATACGCCAGAGTCTTGTTTCTTTCAGAAGTTTATTCAAAGTCTTATGAACAGGATACCATCAAAGCCGCAGGACAAAACTCCAGGCAGCTGAAGGCAGTCGTTTTCAAGTTTAAGGCATAAACTTTTTTTAAAAATTTAAGTTCAGATTGTGCTTTATATGGACGGACGCCACCCTGGGCTTTGTAGGTGTTCTCCTGAGAGCAGACCGGTCCGATGTGGATTTGTCCTCTCCCTGAAGCCACCATTTTGGACTCTGGCGCAGAGAGTGAGAGGGACCCACAAAACGAACCTCAAACCTCGGTCATAACTCAATCACTGATGGGCTGTTGCGTGGCCCCTTCGTGAGGGGGACCAGATTGAAAGATAATTTGGAAATGAAAATGGGTACAAATCAACTACCAGTCTTTCTTCTCTCCCTTTGAAAGTTGGACATACTGCACTTCCCCTAGATAGGTCTGCACTAACCCTCTAGATCTAGGGAAGAAGATGAAAGCATGCTTTTCCCTGCCAAATGGCTGCCACAAGGTCCTTTGGCCAGTACAGAAATTGAGTCCAACTTGCACATCACTGGGGCTCGTTTTGCTAAGTGTTGCACAGATCCGTAATGACTGATCTGTGATTCTCTGTGCAGCCCCATAAAGGGGATCTGTGCATGTGCAACTCAACATGGCCAGAGTGAACGTGTGTCTCTTTGACTAGCTTCCTAGCGCCCCTTCATTCAAAGGGTGAGGCCAGCAAACCCCTCGCTCGGTCTCCCTGCAGTTTCACATTGACATCCAGTGACTCGGATAACTCCCAGGAAGGGAAAGGACATCGATGGGATGTGTGACTGCATAGGCGGCATCTTGAAGAACAGTCCTTAGGGGAAGATGCGATTCTGCCTTCCCTCTGAACTCAAGGTGAGGGCGTGTCAAACTGGGACGACAAAGGGGCTCATCTCTTAGTGGCACCCAAAGCAACAGGAGGTGTGAAAACCCTTCTGGAACTCTTCCTGTGTCAACACCCGTCCATGTCCAAATGGGGAAGAAAAATAAGGTCTGAGAAGAGAATCCGAAACTGGCTCTTAGCTTTGGTTTCCCACTTCTCCCCTCCCTCATTGTGTGTCCTGTTCCCCCCACGCGTTCCGTTGCATGCGTCAAAGCGCTATGCAAGGGGCATCCAGTCTCCATTGGAAGAACTGCCTGAGATGGGCATTTGACAGCCACCAGCTTTGAATCAGGACCACGAAATAACAGGTCAAGTCATTCAGACGCATCGATCGCTAAGCTGCAAAACTCCCTCGGACCCATCTGATCCCCCCAAAAAGCCAGAACAAAATAAAGAGATGGAAACTGAGATGATTTTGCCGGCACACAGCCCCCTTGAAGGGTTATCGTGTGTCCCTTGTAAAATTCTCACCCTGAACAGAGGACAAATCCACATGGAGACTTCTGCGCCCCCCCAAAGCCCGCAGGAGTCCAAAAAGCTCAAAGTAACTCCCCCCCCAATAAAATACAAAACAGTAGAAAATTTTGGATCAACATTCATAAAAGGTACAAAAAACCTGTTTATATATTATTATGTACACGGAAAACAATGATACAACAGGACAATCAGAAAAGGGCATATTTTTTTCTGCAAAATGCCAATATTGCACTTGGTGTTCTTCAAACTTGGTCTTCACCAAGGTTTTACTTTTGGGAGTGGGGTAGGGGTAGGGTCAGAGGTCATTGCTGTGAGAGCCCACACCTTCTCTTTAGCAAAAGGGAGGAGAAAGGTATATCTATCGTCTGAATATAAGTCGTTCCTGGATCCATAGAGGGACACGGGATAGCTGGTTGGTCCTAAGAGATGGAGAGAGAGGCAAGACAGGAGGTTCTCCATGAAAAAACCTTCAGTAGTCAACTGTCCAGTGCAAAACATCTTCCCCTACAGAGTTTCAAGGTTCACAGTGCCATTTTCGGCACACGGAAAGCCAGTGCGCTTCTTCCAGTGGATCTTAAAGCCCTCTCGCTAAAGCCCTGTTTGAAAGAAGGCATCCCTTTTTGCAATTAAGAACTACAACAGGAGAATCCACTGTTGCATGTGTGCTTAACCTCGGCGCTTGAACATCAGCACAGACAACCAGGTCTACACATTCTGGAAGTCACGTAAGTAACAGTCACAGTACCAATCCTTCCCTCTGCACCCAAGCGAACAGCAGGATGAGCCAAGAACACGGCTCAGGAACAATCAAGTGTCAACAGCAAAATCACTCGAGGATAAAGCATCGGCGGCTTTCCCAGGGTAGCTAGTCAACCGAGGGTCTCCTGTGTGCAATCGTAGTGGCAGAATGTTCTCTGTGCTGTGGGGACGGACAAGTGATATAACGCAGCGAGGAAGCTACATGTGAGACAGAACCGAGGGACCCAAATTCGGGATCCAGGGGAGATACTCC